CAGTTATATCAATGTACTGTGAGTACTGTGCCATGCCTACTACCAGTGGGTGTTAGCTTATGTAAGTGAACACCAGCTTATGGACATTTCTTCAGTTGGGTACCTCAGTGTCATCACATTTTTCAGCCTCTAAATGACAAGACACCCTTTTCTAAGACAGGCACATCACAGACTGATCAGACTTGGGTGCATGTCCATAGCATCTTGGGGCCCAGTTGGGATCTTACCTCCTAAACCAGTGCCATTGGCTGCAGCGTTTTGCAGTGTGTGATGTTTCTTTTATGGTCTGGTGCAGGGCTTGTCCATGGATCCCCAGGTCTTTGATCAACCTGATGATGGATGTTGCAAGGAAACCCCTGCAGCCAAAGTCCTGTTTTAGCTGTAAAGCTGTTTCTTTAGTGTCCACTTCTGTCCTATTGTCAGTGATGGTGCAATTCTATTATAGTCTGTGTTTATCTGATAAAACTTTGAATACATTTAAAGAGCTGCTTCCTTCTAGACTTACCTCTCAGCCATGTGTCAGTACAATACAGGAAAGTTATCAAAACCTTACTCCCACACCAGATGATAACTTTGTTAATAGTACAGCAGCTTCAATAAAAACAACCCTTGACACTGTTGCCCCCTCTAAAAAAGAATGCAAATCAGAGGAGATCAGCTCCGTGGTGTAATTTTCAAACACGTGTTCTAAAACACGCGGAAACTAGAGAGGAAGTGGCGTTCCACCAATAAACATGACTGTCACCTAGCCTGGAAGGATAGCTTGATATATTACAAGAAACCACTAAGAAATGCCAGAACCTCTTATTATTTATTATTAATAGAAGAAAATAATAACAACCCCAGGTCCTCTTCAGCACTGTAGCCAGGCTGAAAGAAAGTCATACCTTTACTGACCCATCCATACCTTTAAACCTGAGAAGCAATGATTTCATGAGCTTCTTTACAAATGAAATTATAACCATCAGGGATAAAATCCACCACCTCCTCCCAATGAATAGCACATACATAGATACATTGTCTGGTCCTGAAACCATAGAACTAGATTTATGTTTGAACCAATTTTATTCTATCAATCTTCCTGAACTGACCTTATTAGTTTCATCATGTAAACCAACAACTTGTCAATTAGACTCTGTCCCAACTGGACCTTTTAAGTTTTCCCCCTGATTGACAGTTCCATATTAAATCAGATTAACGTCTTTGTTAACCGGCTATGTACCATAAGCTTTTAAGGTAGCTGTTATTAAACCTCTGCTTACAAAGCCCACTCCTGATCCAGAGGTTTTAGCTCATTATAGACCCATATCAAATGCCCTTCATTTCAAAAATCTTAGAAAAAACAGTTGCTAACCAGCTGTGTGATTTCTTAGATAGTAACGGTTTGCTGGACAAATTCCAGTCAGGATTTAGAATCCATCACAGCACAGAAACAGCACTATTGAAAGTCACAAATTACCTTTTTAAGGCATCAAATGATGGACTTGTCTCTCTACTCATCCTGTTGGATCTTAGTGCATTATTCAACACCATAGATCATAGAATCTTGTTACAGAGACTAGAACAATATATAGGGATCAGAGGAACTGCAATAGACTGATTTAAATCATATTTATCAGATAGATTTCAATTTGTTAACGTCAACAATGACCCCTCCATGCACAAGTTAGTCATAGAGTTCCACAAGGTTCTGTCCTTGGACCGATACTCTTCACCTTATATATGCTCCCCTTAGGCAACATCATGAGAAAGCACCACATACACTACCATTGTTATGCAGATTCATGCTTCATTTCTATGAAGTATGATAGATCTAATCACTTAGTTACTATTCAGGAATGTCTCATCAAGGCCTGGATGACCCAAAACTTCAGAGGTCATTGTAATTAGCCGTAAACATCTCAGAGAAACACTGTCTGAAAAGATAGTTACCTTGGATGGTGTCAGTTTGGCCTCCAGCTCAACTGTGAGGAACCTTGGAGTTATGTTTGACCAGGACTTGTCATTTGACCAACATATAAAACAAGTCTCTAGGACAGCTTTCTTCCACCTGCGCAATATTAAGAAAATTAGAAACATTCTGTCTCAGAAGGATGCTGAAAAACTAGTCCACGCATTTGTTACCTCTAGAAGGAGAGACATATTACTCCTGTCTTAGCTTCTCTACAATGGCTCCCTGTAAAATTCAGAATAGATTTCAAAATCCTGCTCTTCACATTTAAAGCCCTCGACAATCAAGCCCCTTCATATATCAAAGACCTGATAACACCATATTATCCAAATAGATCACTTCGTTCACAAAACACAGGCTCTCTTGTGGTTCCAAGAGTCTGTAAGAGTAGAACAGGAGGTAGAGCATTCAGCTACCAGGCTCCTCTCCCGTGGAACCAGCTCCCACTCTGGGTTCGGGAGGCAGACACCATCTCAGCATTTAAAGTTGAACTTAAAACGTTCCTTTTTGATAAACCCTATATTAAGCACTGGATCAGGTAAGTCCTGAACCATCACTTAGTTATGCTGCTATAGGTCTAGACTGCTAGGGGAACTCCCGTCATGCACTGAGCACCTCTCCACTTCTCTCTGTCTCTCTGCACCCCCCACATTCATTCATTTATTTATTTTAATACATGTCAATGACTATTTCACTTTGTCCTCCCATAGTCTCTCTTTCTCTTTTTCTCTCTCATTTCAGATATCTCTGACCCCAGAACCTCAGGACAACAACTTTACCATTATCACTATCATTAATTACAATATCTCACTAATTAATTATTATATGAATTGTGCATGTTATCAATAATAATTAATAGTCTTTACACTGTTGTTTACATTTTAACTAGTCAGATCTGATACCTGATGGCGCTCAAGTGTTCCTGGTCTTTCTCGCCCCCCTCTCCCCTACTTCCCCCTCCCCACTATCTCTCTCTTTTCTCTCCCCTCTTTTCCACCCATCTCTCCTCTTCTTCCCCTGTTTCCTTTGCTCACCCCAACCGGTCGAGGCAGATGACTGCCCACATTGAGCCTGGTTCTGCTATAGGTTTCTACCTGTTAATGAGYGAGTTTTTCCTCTCCACAGTCGCCAAAGTGCTTGCTCATTGTGGGAACTGTTGGATTTCTCTATATGTTGATTTTAAGGTCCTAACCTTCGATTGTCATCCATGAAGGCCCTGATTGGTGTTAATCTGACCCCCATCTTTTGTTGCTTACCACCTACTACCCATTTTTCACCTTCATGATGCTGCCATATGGTGGTAAAATCTGGTGTTCTGAAGCAGAATTGTAGATTTTTGTAGATCTCTTTCTCTACTCTTGGCTGATTGGTGCCAGATCATGCTAATGTGTTCTAAACATCCAGAGAACCATGGAATTCCAGGTTTTTGGACTGATGTATCCACCAAGCTTTTGGTATAATTTTCTTCACCAATGCCACTCATATTAATTTCCACAAGAAGTGTAGAACATCAGGAGCATTCTTATATACCCTATACGGGACACCATTCGGGCCTAGTGCTGCTACACGCTCCCACCTTACTGTTCTTCCTCCCCTTTATTCTTTGCTTTGCTCTCCTCTCCTCACAGGTGTTGCGGATCTGATCATTGTGGCTCTGCCCCAGTATTTAAATGAGGGAGCAGGGGCGGCTCACTCTCTTCCAGCAGCAGCAGCAGCAGTAGTAGCAGCTTATTTCTAGTTTAGGTTTACTTTCAGGTTTATTAATTTAGAGGAAGAGGCTCTGGGCTCCACAGCACCTGTGGCCTGGCCCAGACTTCCGCATCTTTTGATATTTTTTTAGTTTGATAAATTATAGATAGTTAGTTTCTTTTTTGTCATTTGTAAGTTGTCTTCTATTTTTAAACTTTTACTCAGTTGGCGTTCTTCTATTTGTGGCCATAATGGGGGCTGATGACGCTCTTGCCCACCTTCTCCACTTCTTTCCATTGCAGAGGTTTCACACCCGTTTTGTGTGCTGGCTGCTCAATGGGTGGGAAATCAGATGGAATAGCTATCCTGATGTCATCAGGGTTCCTCCCTTCTTTTGAGAGAGATTTCATGAACAAACAGTATATTCTAAATTGACTTTAACGTGTATTTCATTACAGAACGTATGATATTTTATGTTTTGTCTGGCCAACGTAATTTTATCGGTAAATATACATCCATTCCTGCCATTCAGGCCTTCAACACATTCCAAAAACAATTGGGATGGGGTGCAGTTTGGGGCTAGTAATAAGGTAGAATGATTTTTTTTCACTTTTATTATTTAACTGAATTGTATTTGTATTCTTCCACATCAGAGAGTATATTATCTCAAGGCACTTAAATGAGTAAGGTCAGAATTTACAAAATTACAGAAAAACTCTAAAGTTCCCACAACAAACAAGTTGGATGACTGGGGAGGGAAAAAACTCCTCTTTACCATTTAATAAATATCTAGCAGAACCAGACTCTGTTTTTTTTTTATTTGGTGAAAATAAAGAGACATTCCCTTGAGGGGCCACAGTAACCATGTATCCAAAGTAACAGTATGCATTTCCAGGTTAGTTATAACATGTTTATAATGGATCCAATCTTCACTGTTGCATCAGATATTTTTTTTATGATGCTCAAATCAGTGTCAGTTTTAAACTTCCATTTTCTAATACTCCAATCCAAATTATAGGCAAATGTTTTCGTTGATTGATTTTCACCACTTTTGTTTGTTTATTTAAATTGAAGCCAAAATGTGGCTGTGAAAGTGAAAATGAATTATACACTGTCATTTTTTCCACCCAAAATATCTCAGACTGAATATGCATCTATTGACAGCTGCTGATTATTATAAAAATTTAATAATAACAACTATATGTTTGAATTAAGGGATTTCCCAATCATATTTACCCTGTTCATTTGTTTTCCTCTGAAAAAAAACACTTTTAGTAGTGCCCTAAAAAGAAATTCAAAAAGACTCAGCTATTATGCAAAATTTATTTTACTAGAATAATATCAGGCAAATCTATTTTGTCCAACAAGAAAATAACAAAAATAAAATACATTTACAATAATACGTTCCATGGAGAGAAGAGGCTGGATTACTGCCCTTTAAAGAGTCAGTCACAGCAGTAGAGTAGCTCCGGTGATAGTTATGGGCATACAGATTTGCGGATGCTTGAACCCAGAGCGATCCACATCTGTTGACAGAACAAAAACATATTACTACACTAGAGGCAAAAGCAGTTTGTTACTTTTTAATGTCTAAAATTGGTATTTTTGACCCGCAGTCACACTGAAACCATAAGTGTAAAGGAGCTGTTGTATAATAAATATGTTATTTACGAATATACTGTTTTGTTTTAATTCCCCTGAAAAACACCACAGACAGAACATTCATGGTGGATTTGGACATTAAAAAACATTTGCTTAATATGTGAAGTTCAATACTGCTAAGGACTTTAAAATCCTAGGGTATTTTATTGCTATGGGCACATATGTGCTCCATTATGCTTACTCTGAAAATATGTGCTAAAATATTTTAATAAATCTATACAATCAAAAGTACAAAAATCTATATATGTGATTTTAGTTATGTAAGGTATTATTTTAACAAATAAACTAGGGTTTCATTCTTTCAAAGAATCATACAATTGCCTCGAGTTCCCCAAGCCTACTTTTAGCATCCCAGTCCGCTGAAAGAGCCGATCCTCTCTAACCGCACACCAAAACAGCTTCTTAGTCCTCCCTTTTTGTAGCGGCTCGATGAACGTTTGGAGGTCCTCATGAGGTCTTTAAAGAGATCAGCCAGGACACTTTGTTCAGCTGCAGGTGTCGAGGTGTAAGGCTTTGAGGACTCCCGAGGATGCTTCTCTGGAGCGCTTCCTCTGATCTCCGACTTGTTTCCATCTGTCTCCATCTCCTCAGAGTAGTAATACGGCACCGCGTTGAGCTTCTCTTCTAATAGCTGCTTCAAACTCTGGAACATTTAAACAAACAGTCTAAGTTATATTAACAAACAGTAATATACAGACAAGCCATTGCATATTTCATCTTCAGTGTCGTATGTTACACTCATCCACATCATTATCATCAGTCAAGGACAGGTCATTCACCTGTAGACCAAAAACGGATTTGGCTCCAGTGAAATTAATAAATAGAAGCAGAGACAAACAGTAAACGGAGACACTTGGGTTCATTTTCTTCTGCATGTTTTATCTTGCTATAGTTTTCAGATCAGCTCAGTCAGTCCTGCTCCACTGACTCTGCTGTGGTGAGCAGGGGCTGCATTTATAGGTTCCACGACCTGATTCCGTCACAGGGTCTGAGAAAATTAATGAGGCATGATTAATGCTTCACCACGTGGGAGTACAGGCTAGCCTGACTGTTGAAAATTGGGACCGGAAGTGTTCACAGGTTAATACTTCTCTGAAGCTGTCAGGCGACATGACTGATGTGCTTGACATTTTGCTTGGTAGCCTGTAATTATCACAGGCTACTTTCAGCACTCAGGTCTCTTTGCAAGATTTACAAAGATTTTTTTCAGAGGGGAATATAAGTAAAAAAATAATATTTATTCTTCTTTTTGCTTCATAAACTAAGTGAAACTAAGCACCAAACTGTCATTAAACATTTACAAGCTTGTCACTAGACAGAATCTTGATATTCAACAATTCTACAACCCACATTATATTCAATAACAAGGTTTTTAAAACAAAATTACATCTACAATGAACAGTTAAATGAAAGTCACACACTTACTTATTGTATACATTGAAAATTAAGATTTATTTGAAAATGTATGTGTGTGTGTTTCTGCACATGCACAAATCTATGTGCTTGTCTTGTATTAGTATGCTTTCCCATCATGTCCTATCCCGTACTCCTCCCACAATTCAATCGCCCTGCTACCATCCAGACAGTACAAAGGACAAATGATGAGCCATTAGCCCTTAACCCTGCAAAACTGACAGCACAGTGTGTACATGGATGACAGCTTCTACCATCTTATCAATTGGAGGGTTCTTATGTGAAATTAGCTCAGACCTCAGGGGCAGCACTGAAGATTGCACAGGTTTGCTGAGGAAAGGATCACAGCCTTCCTACTGTCATCTATTGTTATATTTCAAAGAGACAGATGTACTGCTGATGATGAGTGGTGGGAAGTATTTAGATCCATTACAATTCCCTTTAAAGTCAAATATGGTCCATTGTGTGTGTGTGTAAGTCACATAATTAATGAACAAAATATTTATTTGTTGGACATTTCAGCCTGGTTTGATATGACATATACTTTTAAAAAAATAAAAATAAACATCAAATGTTGCTCAAATATCTTTGCCTGACTTACTTGCTGATGTTTTGTCTGCAGTGTAGGTCTAGAAGCTGAACTATGCAGTATGCTGATTTTCATGGCTGACATTTATAAACCTCTTAACTGTCATTGAGATGATGAACGTTGAATCCACCCTCACAATAGTTCCCCTCCATTAAAGGCCTTAATTAGAGCATAAGAGCCCCATCATGTCAATGATGGAGCTGGCTGAACTGAGACAAAGAACTCTGAAATGAGAGGCACACTTACCGAGCAGCACTGTTTGTCAGACAACAAAGCAGAGGGTCCAGATGCCTGTTCTTCAAGAGGAACTTCCTGATAAATTGACTGCTAGTTTGATTGAACTATAACCCATTTTTCTACATATATGCATTAACAGAAGGCATTAATTATCTGGTGTGTTGATAATTAAATGAGATTGGTCATGATCTGATCTCAGCTCAGTGTGACCAGTCCCTAATGATTACAGTAATTTAATCATCAGCCACTGGATATATGATTTTTGAACACTATATCTTTATGTTTTTGATTGTTTGATGTTGATGATTTGTGATGGTACAGAATGCCTCATTAAGAGATCTATGTCAGACATGTTAAACTCAAGGCCCAGCTAGATGCACACGGAGCGAGCCATCCTCTCCACTCACTAACCAAGTATTTGATTATATTAAATGATTTTTACAGCGTCCAGAGATCCCAGTGCCTGCCACATTAAGTTCACCATGTCTCTCAAGCTTATCTATCTCTCTTTTTACTTCTGTCTTTCTCTCTCCATCTCAGTTTTTGTCCAGAGAGCCATGTTGCACAATGCCAGGCTAGATGCACACAGAGCGAGTGCCCCTCCTCACCTGTCGAGTATTTGATGATTGTAAATTATTTTTCCAGTCTTCCAGAGATCCCAGTGCCTGCCTCATCAAGTCCACCCACATGCTTTTCTCTGTGATGAAGATGAAAAAAACCAAACACACAGGAGTCGTCTCACTGATGTAATAATAATAATAATAATAATAATAATGCATTGTATTTCAAAGGTGCCTTTCTGTCACTCAAGGACACCGTACATAGTTAAAAGCAAAAAAGCGAAACATTAAAATAAGAAACATTAAAAGAGAGTCATTAAAAGTATACATCCTTAAAACATTAAAACCAGTTAAAATTTCACAGTGGCATGAGGTTGGTTTAGACGGAGAAGGCAATTTTAAACAGATGGGTTTTTAGTGATGACTTAAATTGTGAGAGTGAGTTTTGAATGACGGGTGGTAGAGAATTCCAGAGCTGGGGAGTAGAGTGGCTGAAAGCTCTGCTCCCCTTGGTGGTGAGACGGGCAGAGGGGACAGACAGGTGAATAGAAGGAGATGATCTGAGGGACAGAGAGGGAGTGACAACATGAAGGAGATTGGAAATGTTGGAGCAAGATTATGGATGGCCTTGAAGGTAAGCAGAAGGATTTTGTAGTTGATGCGTGATTTGACAGGGAGCTGTTGTAGGACAGGAGTGATGTGGTGGATGGAGGGGGTTCTGGTGATGATGCGGACAGCTGAATTCTGGACCAGTTGGAGCTTGTGGAGGGATTTGTGAGTGAGACCGAGAAGGAGAGAGTTGCAATAATCCAGGCAGGATGTGACGAGACTGTGAACGAGGATGGCAGTGGTATGGGAAGTGAGGGAGGGGCGGAGGTGAATTATGTTGCGCAGGTGGAAGTAGGCAGACCGGGTGATGTTATTGATGCAGGATTGAAAAGAGAGAGTGCTATCGAGGATGACACCTAGACTCTTAACCTGTGGGAAGGGGCAAATGGAGCAATTGTCAATGTTGAGAGAGAAACTCTCGGTTTTGGATAATGTGGTTTTGGTGCCAATGAGGAGAACCTCAGTTTTGTTACTGTTTAATTTAAGAAGATTAGAGGTGAACCAATATATATTTCTGCCAAGCAGTCAGTAAGGGAGGTGGGTGGGAGGTTGGAGGTGGGTTTGCTGGTGAGGTAGAGCTGGTGTCATCCACGTAGCAGTGGAAATTGATGTTGTATTTATGAAAGATATTACCGAGGGGAAAAAGATAAATGATGAAGAGGAGGGGCCACAGGACAGAGCCCTGGGGCACACCTGAGGTTAGAGAGACAGGTTGGGATATGAAAGTTTTAAGTCGGATGAACTGAGTGTGGTATGATTTAAACCACTTGAGGGGTGATGCCAATGGAGGAGAGTCTATTGAGGAGGGTAGTGTGACAGATGTTATCAAATGCTGCACTCCGGTCAGGGAGGATGAGGATAGAAGGTAGTCCAGAATCAGCTGCCATGAGGGTGTCATTGGTGATTTTTGTGAGGACCGTTTCTGTGCTGTGGAGTGGGCGGAAACCAGACTGGAACTGTTCATACAGGTTATTGTCAGATAAATGAGAATGGAGTTGTGTGGCTACTGTTTACTCAAGGATTCTGGAAATGAAGGGGATATTAGAAATTGGGCGAAGGTTATTGAAATTGGTGGGATCAGCACCAGGCTTTTTCAGAGTTGGGGTTATTGCAGCGGTTTTGAAAGATATAAGAACAGTTCCAGTGGTGAGAGAGGAGTGGATGATGGCAGTGATGATAGGGACCAGGGAAGGGAGGCAGGCTTTCCCCAAGACTGTGGGGAGAGGGTCCAGCTGACAGGTGGATGGCTTGGACTTACGGATGAGATCAGAGATTTCTGAGGTGGTGAGGAGCTGGAAGGAGGAAAAAGAGTGCGTTGGAGGAGAGAGATCAGAAGTGATGTTGGGGGTGGGTTGTGAGCTAAGATCCTGGTGGATCTTCTGGATTTTATCAGTAACGAAAGACATGAGGGAGTTGCAGAAATCAGTAGAGTAGAGGTAAGATGGGAAAGAGTCCAGGGCTTGGGTGATATTTTTGAGTGATTTTGAGTTGCCTTCATTAGAACAGATGATGTCTGTGTAATAGTTAGATTTGGTGTGGTTGATGCATTCCTTGTAGTGAGGTATGTGGTTTTTGTACGTCTTTGTGGATTGTTAGTCCAGTTTTCCAGAGCAGCTGCTCAAGTTGCCGTCCTTTGGCTTTCAAGAGCCGAAGTTGGGGTCTGAACCAGGGGGCAGAACGGGAGAAAGAAACAGACCTGGTTTTTAGTGGGGCAAGGGAGTTGAGTATATTGTGAAGTCCAGTGTTATAATGTGAGACCAGCTCATCAAGGCTGGTTAGATTGTGAGTGTTCATGGGGGAGAGAGTACTGGAGGAGAGAGATTCTAGGTTGATGTCCTTGATATTGCGAAAAGAAATGAGACGGGGAATTTTAGTGATGGAGAGAGGGAGTCTGACATTGAATGAGAGGAAGAAATTATCAGTAATAGGGAGTTCATCTGCTGTGTGGTCAGAAGGGGAGATACTTGAGCAGCAAATTAAGTCCAGGATGTGACCCTTGGAATGAGTGGGAACATCATTCTACTGCTGAAATCCAAAACTCTCAAGGCAGGATGTGAAGTCTTTGGTAAGAGGGTTATTGATATTGTCCATATGAATGTTAAAATCTCCCAGCACCCAGTTTTTGTGGAGTGAAATTGAAGAAAATGTGTTGCCCTCCATTCCTTGACAACAATGAAGTAATTATTTAGAGAAGCTGATTCAGATAGTTTTCAAGACAAAATACAGCTTTTCGATGCTCCCCCAGATTGATAACTATGGATTGACAGCAGGGGCAGAAGGTGCAGCCCCCCACCCTACTGAGGGACCTTATGGCTGGACTGTAGAATTAGCAATTCGTATATGTCCCTGACTGGGTGGCACTGATTTAGGGTTTGGTCAGTGTAACTTAATTTTGTTACCAAGCGACCAAATAACAGTTACTGTAACATAAACTGATGTATTTTTAAAGCCAGGC